ACGGGTAGGAGTAAGTGAGGATATCCTAGTGTTAAAGGGTGCAATGTTATATTATAAAATTGAATATAATTGTTAAGAAACATTGAGGGTATGGGAAAAGGAAGTGGTGGGTTATATGAAGGGGTGTGTGGAGTGAAAGAAAGTGAGTGTTAAAGGAAGTGAGTTCTAAATAATTTTTGAAAAAGGCTCTCAGCTTAAAATAAAATATAAAGGTATTTATTAAAATAAAAAATAAAAAGAAAGGAGTATATTATTAAGTGTAAGAGGTTAATATATCAAAAGCCTTTTTTTTTTAATGAACATATTCTACACATTATTTAATAATTGATAATTAAAAATTAATATGTACTTACGAGACATGACGTTTATTATTAGTATATTATTTAATAACCTACTTTCTTGTTTATTTATTTTTTAAAAATACTCATAATTTTTTTAGGTGTTTTAAACTTTCTCCCCTTCAATATTTTTCTCTTTTCACTCCACACACCTCCTTCCATTTGACCCACCCTTTCCTATCTACACCCCCAATTCATTTCTTCTTAATAATTACTTTCACTTATCAATATAACATGAGGGCTATAATTATATCGGTATAACTTTTATTAAGTATTACACCACCCTAATTTTATATTAAATATGAATTTTATAAATTCAACCGTTAGATTGAAAGTTCTTTACTCTTAGATCATATATACAAAACTTTATATTAATCTAAGATGATTTGATACTTCATTTTTATAAAACAAAATTGACGTAATATATTCATTTCAAAATATACTAAAATATGAACGTTTTAATTACATTCAAGTTGTTATTCAATTTTAACAAAATTTGATATACACATATAAAGTGATATGAGCTTTCAATCCAACAGTTGAATTTACAAAATTCACATTTAATATTAAGTTATTAAGTTATGTAATACTTAGTAAAAGTTACGTCGGTATAATTATAACCCCTCTCATATAACATTAACCTAAAAAATCTCTAACATTCTCACTTGCCCTACCCATCTAAAGGACAATCAAGCACAAAATTCTCTATGTACAACACCATTTTTGAAAAAAAAAATAATGTTCTAAAAAGTATTTTCTTGAAATATATTTTAAAATAGTATTGAGAAGTATTTTTTTATAGTATATTTTATGCTAAATTATATTTTTGTTCCTCTATTATTTTTAGGATTTAATTTAGTTCCATTATTTTTAAAATGTTCAATTTAATCCTTTAATTTTTTTTAAAAAATTCAATGTTGTCCTTTTATTCATATTGGCACTAACTACGTTAATGAAATTAGATATAAAAAAATAAAAAATAAAAAAGAAAAAAAGACAACATTGAACTTTTTTAAAAAATTAGAAGACCAAATTAAACATTTTAAAAATAATGGGATCAAATTGAATATTTCAAAAATAGTAAGATCAAATTAAATAAAAATTTATCTAACTTTTTTTTTGTCTAGATAAATTTGAATTTTTTTTAACTTATATTAACAAGAGCATGAATAATAAAAAATTGAGTACTTGAAATTAAAAAAAATGATTAAAAGATGAATGAGTCATCTAATAAAAGATATTATTAAATAGGTAAAATAAAATTTAAATGTATCTAGACAAAAAAAATATTTTATAAATTTTTGTTTAATTTAGTCTCTCTATTTATATAATGTTCAATTTGATCTCACTATTTTTAAATGATTCAATTTAATTTTCTAATTTTCAAATGATATTTGATGTTACCATTCCATCCAACTTCATTAACGTTGTTAGTATTAATTTAAATGAAAAGGTAACATTGAATATTTTTTAAAAAAAAATTACATGACCAAATTGACACCATTTAAAAATAGTAGAATCAAATTGAATTTGAAAAATAAATAGAAGGACCAAAAGTATAATTTAGCCTATGTTTTAAAACATCATTTCAAAAAGTACTATCTACAAGTATATTTTAAAACATGGTTAAATTATATTTTTAGTCCTTTATCTTGTTTTTAGATTCATTTTAACCCTTTATATTTTGAATATTTTATTTTGATCATTTATCTTTTAAATCTGGATTGATTTGATCCTTATTAAACAATAACTGTTTTCAACTTTGAAACATAATTTTAAATCATTTCTTAATTAATTTTAGATGTGTAATTTATCTCATTAGATCCACCTATATGAGAACTATGAAATTTAATGGATGTTCAAACTCAAAAATTATAAAAAATTGTAAAAATCCCATGAAAAATAATTTTCAAAAGTAATAAAAAAAATATATGATATTAGGTTTTAATATTTTTCCGTTGCTTTTTAGATTCATTTTCATGCAAGTTTACATTTTATGACTCTTTTATGTTCAAACATCAATTAAGTTCAATAGCTTTCATGTACGTGAATCTAATAAAATAAGTTTCATGTCTTAAATTAATCAAAAAAATTCAAAATTAAAAATAATTATTATTTTCAAAATGACCAAATCAACCTAAATTTTAAAGATAAAGAATCAAGTAAATTTAAATAAAAAACTAAAAATATAATTTAACTTTTAAAACAAAGTTTGGGAAGGTAATTTTTAAAAGCATGTTTAAAACACAATTCTTGAAAGTATTTTTCATATTATATATACCATTTCAAAAAGTACTTTCCAATGTTATACTTTAAAACATATTTCTAAAAATTACTTTATAGAATAATATATATACTACTCTAGAAATTACTCTTCAAAAATATGATTTAACAAGTAAAATACATTGTTCCAAAAATTATTGTATTATAACATTAACATTAAAAAAAATATCGATTGTAATAGATTGTACCTAGGGAGGCATACCTTTAAAAATCAAAGAGAATGTTAAAAAAATCATAAAATTTATTAAAAAGGAGAATAATGAAGATGAAGTGAACAAATAGATTAGTGAATCATAAAGTTGAGAATGCAAAACTAGGATTTAAAGAACAACAAAAATAAGGTTTGAGTGTCTTGATGACCGAAGAAAATTACTAAAAAAATTAATAAAGAGTGATTAAAGATAGATAGAGGAAGATGGATGAATAAAAAAGATTTTTGAAAATAAAATTTATTTCAAAAGGAGAATAAATCAAGGGTTTCTAATTTGAAAAGAAAAAAAAGGTGTGTCACCTATTTGGATAAACTTCTTTAGAAATATTCATAAGAAAGAAAAATAATAAAAAAAATAAAACTAAACTTCCTTACAGTTAAAACTAACTTTAAGTATAAGTTAAAAATAAAATTTTGAAGAAACTAATAGAAAGCTTCTACAAATTGGTGTGTGCATAAGTTAATTTTAACTTATGAAGAAATTTATTTCATTTTTTCTCATTTTATTTTTCTAGAAGTGTTAATGAAGAAGTCTATCCAAATATAATATTATATTATTGACAAAGTACAATTTCTTAAATATGATTATACTATTTTTCGATTAGAAATAAAATTTTACTTTGGTAATGTGTGTAAATTATTGAGGTAAAACATTAATTCTAATTGAAAACCAACTTCAACCAAATATAAAGAATTGAACATAAGTTTTGTCCAAATATCATTTTTCCTAGTAAAATTGGCTTGATCCATTGTCAACCTAAGCTAAGGTATTTAATTAATGATTTTGGTCAAATCGATAAAATGTAAGTATGAAATTATCAAATTTGATTAACCTAATATTTTTATTTTTTATAAAATAAAAAAAATACATGTAAATTTAAGCAAAATAAGAATAAAAATTGATTTGTTGTAATCCTACTTGTTTTTCACGCTTTGGCTCACCATGCTGAGTGATCCATTTTACTAGCCCTAATCATACTACCCACCAATGAGTCTTCATGTACTTCGAATCAGATTTCTTGGTCATGTAATATGATAGTTGAGGAGCTTCTCATCTCTTTCTAAAAGGGTGTGCTTGCATGTGAAATGAACACAATCTTGATCATATCTATCTAGAGACAACAAAAGACTTAATGTAACTCCAAATGGTTGGAGGAGAGGATAGTGATTCTTTTAAACTAATTTTCATTGATTGATTCAATTTTTAAGAGTATGAGAGAAATCGAGAGAATAATTTTAGTTTCTCATTCAATAGAAAGAAATTTGGAAAAAAGGGAAGGAATTAAAATATTTTAATAGTAATATCTAAATTTTTCTTATTTATATATCTTAATTTAAGATTATAAGGTACAAAATAAACTAATTTTTAAAATAAGAGAGTATTGATATTATCAAATTATTATATATAAGTGAAAAATAATTCTCATCCTACAAATTAATTTTATAAAGTTGAAGTTAACCTTAAACTACTTTTGTAAAATAATATCAAATTCTATCTTAACGAGTATTCTATCATAACTAAATTAATATATGTAAGTAAAAAATAATACTTATTTTATAAAAAATAAATTTTATAATAACTTCCTTAACATGTAAAAAAGAAAACTTCCTCTCCAGTCTCCATTAAACTTCTTCCCTCTTTTATCGTTCTTTGAAATAAACAGTCTGGGTTGCAAATTGCAATTAGGATTTACCATCAGGAAAAATGAAACGAAATCTTTGAATCACTTATGTGTCTTTGTAATGCAGGATGCATCATAGATACCAGCGTTGAGAAGAGGACAATGTTAGCATATCGCAGGGGTGTATCAAAGACACTGTCTGCGTCGAGGCGACAATTGAAGCCAGAAATGTTGTATTAGCTAAGAAGCTGGAGCCACTGGAGTGAAGGTGCACAGAGAAGGGTTGTGCCAAATTAGTTTGGGAAGAGGAAAGGGTTGAGTTTCGTAAAATTAATAAAACAGTGAGTATTTTAGTAAATAGATGTCGGTCCTTAATTTCAATCAAGGATGAGTTTTTTATTAAAATAGTATTTACACAATAATCCAATAGGATCACCATGTATGATGAAAAATTATTAATTTTTACCAATAATTGCATTAACCATAACCTCTTATCTGTAAACCAGATCTTTAAGGTTCGATTTCATAAATCATTTTGATCGGATATATAAAATAAAAGATCACTTCGACCAACTCAATACAGAGTTACGAAATACATGAAGCTCTTAATTTTTTTGGTTTTAGTTTAACAGAAATTCATGTTTTACTACTAGTACAAACATTCGTCTCTTTGATTGCACATATCAAGTATGTACTTAATCATACAAAGGTATTAAACGTCATGCAACAGCTACAAAGCATCTTCTGGGGATGATATAACAACATTTATTCAACAGGGTCTCACTCTCTCAACACGCTTCCTTTCCTTCCCCCAAGATGATTCCACAAAACAAACTACTTTCCAAGCTTACGCTTCACGGAAAATCTGCCAAAACCACACAACAGATGGCACACCAAAACCTACCTATTTTGCACATTCTTGTTTGTTTTTTATGCTGCCGAGCCAGCTTGTTCGCATAGGTCCCACAGATCCAGAGTCTGCAATATTGAATAAGAAATTCCATTCCATCAAACAATGAGAAAGAGACAAAAACCAACTGCGACAAATCAATGTCATGGAATAATTCTTTTATATTAAAACAGCAATATTCCATCATACCTCTGGAACTGACAGCTTGATGCCTTTCTTATCTGCAATATCGTGGACCCTTTCTTTCAAAACTCAAGACGAAACTTTGGACCGTCATAATGATGCAATACTGGCCTGAAAGAATCTTCTTCCAATGCCTTGCAAAGTTTCCTGACACGGATTCTTACCTACAATGAAGAGGAGGAACTAAATATTGTTTATTCAACAAAATATATGGATTCCAACATTTGAAAATCCTACATTCTAATTTCTACCTGAGCTGGAAACCTTGATTCGCCTTTGCATTTTTTATCCTCCCACGCAGTTGGATCTATGTTGGAGCCACCAAAACTTGCTGCCTGCAACATAGGACTTTCAAAGTAAGAAAATCAAGACAATTCAAGTGTCTATCCACTCTGTCAAATTTACTAATTAGATTTGAATAGTGGCTAAAATAAATAATGCAAAAGGAGGCAACAAACTATGTGCCTCTATTTAAGCATAGAAGATATCCAATCTCTAATCAGACAAACATACCAAGCAGAAAAACCAAAAACTATTGAGACAAAATCAGAACAAAGTAATTTTTCATCCTATGTAATAGGTAACCCCATCACTAGCTATGCCACCGCGGCTGAATACAAATTATTTATCATTTAACCCCTATAAGCATATGTTTGGATCTGTTTTGAAAAACATTATTTGAATATTTGATTATAGATATAATCAATTAAAGTTAAAATCAATTATATGAAATAAGATTAATGTCTAAATATACTACGTGAAAAATGATGAAGATAATCTATGGTTTGCATTGTGAACAAGAATAATTTTAAACAGTAAAATTACAACAAAAAAGGTGTTATTCACAAGATTTTGGTTTTGTATTTAAATTGATCAATTATTGGTGTTGGCTTTTAGTCATAAACTCTAAAACTCTTATCCTGAAAATCCCATTTCCTTAGTTGAGATTTTAATCCAAATTACCAAAAACATTTGAATAGTAACATCAACTTTTTTTTCTTCTATCAAATAGATTATAATACAACAAAAGCCTTTTCAAATAGAATATAATATCTAAAAATAATCCAATATAAACATGATCTAACAAGCAATTTTTTTATGTTTTAGACTTTTAGTTTATATGTCTCCATTCTGTGGTTGTTTTACATCGCTAGATAACTAACAGAAACTAAACCATAAAAAAATGGTTGTTTAGGGATTAAAACAGAGTTTTTTTAGGTATAGCCATATTAAGGACTACAAGAGTTGACACAGGTATAGAGACCATAAGATTTATTAACCTTTCTGAAATAAAGACAATATTTCCATGCCATTAACATGTTTATCAAGACTCTAGTGATTGGGCAACAACAATAGGTTTCTTAGCTGTTCAATGTCTCTCCTTGAGAAATTATAATTAGCCTTACTTCTTACCAATATCATTTAAACTGGGGACACAACATCAATATTTTATAGCCCTAAAATAAAGTACTTCTGCACAGTCTGAAGCACAATATAATTAACTGTACTTGGAAATTAGAATAGCTTACCTCAAAAATACCATGCAGCTGATGGGTGGTATAGTTATACAGAAATAGGGGTAACCCTGGTGTTATTGCCCTGACAGAATCTCGATACCTTGGAGGCAAACCTACCAAAAAAGATTGAAAGTGTCAGTCATCTAGAAGCAGTTGATTAATAATCTTCAAACTAGATAAAAAAAAAAAATAGATTCCATTTAATAAGCACACACCAAATAGCTGACGTTTCAAGTCTTCCTGCATTGTATCATTGTTGCAGACAAAGATGTATCCTCCAAGCACCTCATTACGTGGGAGTGTCTCTGCTGCAGGCAAGGTCTTAAACCTTTTGTCAGATGCATTTGAGTTGTTGTTTTCATTGTTGTTGCCACTGCTGTTGTTGTTGGACTCTTTGTTATGCTGAATATTACCATTATACTTGTTACTGTTTACATTACTCACCAAGTTTGCATTGTTTTTCTGATACACTGCATTCATACTGTAAACACCATTTCGCAGTGAGCCTTTGCTCACGTTTTCAGTAAATTTAGAGTCCAGGTTCAACATGCTCAAGTTAAGAGAGTCAAACTTGTTCTCTTCCTGGAACCCAAATTTATCCCTTGACCTTGTTTCAATGGGACCCTTAGAAAGATCAAGGTTATTCACACGCTCCCCCTTTAGTCTTGTCTGCTCAGCCAATTTCGAAGCAACCATTAACCACTTGTGATCCTCTGATGCTTTCGAGTGTCCACGGAGCTCATCGCCCAATTGCCAGAAGCTGTGCATGTTGTCCATATTTCGAAACCCTAAGAAGTTATAAACAAAACATAGCCCTTTTAGAATGAGTAAATCAACAACATCTTCCTTTTCTGTAAGAGCAAAGATTGCTAACCAACAGAAATACTGAAATAGTTTACAGGTCAAACACCTGACTGACTAGATTTTCATCAGTTCACAACAGCATACATTAGCATTTAAAAAACATTTGGCAGGTGAGAGGGTTACCCCCTAATCCATTGGCATCTACAGACAAAAATTGATTCCCACTTCAAATTATCGAGGGCTAACATTTGGTAACAAAAGCAAATAGCCATTTCGTAGTATTCTAGTACAACGGGGCTTCCCACACCTGACAACCCCCAAAAAATAGAAAAAACATAATTCTAATAACCTCGGACCATCACATACAAAACGAATAAATAGCACCCAAATCTTATTATCCATTTTCAAGAGCACAGTTTTCCTCTTTTGAGACTCAGGGAACTCAGCTCAAAATCCAAGTTACCATACACATACTATCATAAATCTGACATACATCAAATCGCGACGGTAACAAGGCGAGTCCAAACTCGATAAAAAGAACACAGAAATGGAACAAAACATAAACCCTCACTCAAATCAGGCACAAATAGCGGCACACACGAAAATTAAGCAACACAACGAAGATCACGAAAGGAAATCGAAGATCCCATACGAGCATTCACGGATACGATAAGAAATTACCAAAACCAGAACAGTGAAGACGAGGTCAACGATGGAAAGTAAACCAAAACAAAGATTCGAAATCAAGAATTGGCAACGAAAATTACGGCACTGATTCTACCAATTTCGCAAAGACGAAGCCCTAGATTTGGGGATCCAAAGATGAGAAGAGAGAGAGAGAGAAGAGAGAGTACCTTTTACTACTTGGCTGTGAAACTCGAAGACGCGAGTGAGAGAAAGGGTAGAAGAGCAAAGGGTTATTAATAAGGTTTGTTTTCGTGCTTTACGTAAATGTCCAATAGGTTTTCGAAGAATTACGAGATTGCCACTGTTGATTTTGACTTTTTCTTAAATTAAAATTGAACCTTATTTTTAGTCGGTGGGAGTGTGACGGTGTGTACATTGAATGTGTTTGCACTGCAATTGAGGATGTCACGTGGCCCTCGCGCTCAGAGGTTGCCGGAGATGTTACGCCATAAATTGTGTTAGACCTACATAAACGTGACTGAGTTGTGGATAAACTTTACCACATTTTGTTTTCATCAAAATAATAATAACAATAATATTTTTAACAAAATTCCATATGTTGAGACCACAATTCAGTCATTTTTTTTAGTTTTATTAGTTGAAATGCTTGTTTAATTTTGTTAATTTAATAAACCAGTTTTTTAAGAGGTTTAATTTTTCTTTTACAGTAGGTTGTAGTGTTTTTAAAGAGGCTAAAGTTTTTATATTTTAGAATATTTATTAAAAATACCTTTTTATGTTGAGTTTAACTCTTCTAAAAGATGAAATTAAATTTTTATAAAAAATTTAAAATTAATTATATTATCAATCATTAATTCTTTAAACAATGGTTATTCTTACAGTTTTTTCTCTACAGTTTTACATTAGATGAATTAAATCCTTTTATATAAGTATAATTTTATTTTATTTAAATTTCTATTATTTTTTTATATTTTTTAAATAATCTTCAATAACATAAATAAACTATAAGTAATAATAATTCATAATGATAAAAAGAAAAACAATGTAGGAAAAAGCTTAATTTTTCTTGGTTAAATTTTATTTCTTAATTAATACAATAATATTTTTCAAACGATTTGTCTATTTCATTCATTCTATTTTTTTGTCCATTTATATAAGTGGTGAGAGATTTATTTATCTCTCTTTTATATTTTTATCTATTTAAACAATATATTTTTGTTTTCTATTTCATTTCACTCATTTGCTCAATCTTCTCTTCTTATCAAATTGACAAATTCAATGTTTTTCGTCCATTTAACTTTTAAATAAAATAAATAAATTAAATTTATAATGTTTGATATATTCTTTTTATTTTTATTTCCTATTGTAAAATAATAAATATGTGTGGTTCTTCAATGACATATAATTTTTATGAATTTTCTTAATTTTTTTTCAATGCTAAAATCTAACTTGGGTTCTTAATTTGCTTTATACAGGACATGTAAAGAATTTTAAATCTTTATACTTCTATTTAAATTTATTTTTATTAAAAATTACAATAATCAAAATTTGGATAATATATATAAAAAACTATAACAAATATTATAAATTTAATTATTTATTTTATTTATAATTAAAATTTAAATGGATGAAAAATGTAGAATTTCTCAATTTGATAAGAAGAGAAGATTGCAAATATGAGTGAAATCAAAGGATAAAAAATGACATATTAAAATAATAATAATAATAATAATAATATGATTGTTAAACACTTTATAAAACAAACACTTTTTCACCAGCTCAAGTAAATCAACAGACAAAATCAACATGATATCAAACAAACACAAAATTAAAGAGAGATAAAGGAGAGAGATCTGCACAAACTTTTTATATTGGTTAGTCTTCACCACTAAGATTACATCTAACTTTTGATTAATAGATCAAATTTCACTAACACATGTTTGCTTATAAACAAGTATTTTTTTAAAACAAGTCAATATTGGCTTAGCTAAGCACAATCCAAATATTCTTTCACACAAAGTCACTTATGGCTTCAAGATCCAAGTATTCTCTAAAAACAAAATATCTTCAAGTATCCTAAAATGAATAAGGTAAAAGGGTTACAAATCAATGTTTTCTTCAAAGACAGATATCATAAAGAGTGAGCAAAAACATAGTTTTGAATAGATAAAGTTTTTGTTTAGTTTGTACAAGTTGTTCTACTTCTCTCTAGAATGTTCTCTGTGATATGTTGCCTTTTGAGATAGATGAGTGTTCAAACTTCAACATTTGTATTTTTCATCTGCTTGAAGTTTTACCCTTAACTTTTCATGTGATGAACAATGTTTTGAATATGTTTGTTTGAGCACTCAGTTGTTGTATTAAATGATCCTCCTTAACATGTTTTATCCTATAAGAAAGAAGTAGGCAAAGGAGTGGGCATTAGTAGAGCACTAAAGTAGCTTTTTGACTTTGAGGTTGGTGAAGTTTCCAAATAGTGATGATCACATCTCTAACCTCTATTGATGCCAAAGATGTCATACCTCATTATATCTACAAAGAACATTCAAATTATGATAGAGTCAGTTAAATAAAATATAGTATAAGTACAATCTGGTAAGTTTTGTCTAATCAGACGTACTTTCAAATGATATTGTACAGATGATATATCTATAGAATTATTACTTAGATGATTCAAAAATATTAACTTTGTTATTATCAAAATTAGCATAAGATGAGGGAGTACCTATTCATTCTTTGAACTAACACACTCTAACAATCTATTAGACATTTATGAGGGAGAGAGTGAAAGAAATATAGGTGTAATGGTTTGAGATGAAGCATGCCCTACTCAATTTTGTCCAACACAACCAATTTGGTGGTCTAGATCATGGAGATCCTTACCAACTTCTTTTATTAAGTTGTGTAATACCATGAAGATACGTAATGTGCTCGATGAAGTTGTCTAATAGAGGTTATTTCCTTCTTTCCCTCACCAGAAGAGCTAAAAATGGTTGTAAACATGCCCTAACCATTGCCTTATTGTACGAGACTATGTGGTAGAAAAGTTATTGGCTATATTTTTTCCTTAACCAAAGAATAACAAAGACAATATTTGTAACATTGTTAAAAAAAAAAAAGGCTGATTCAGTAGCCCAGAACGGGCCGTTCCCAAACTGGAACGGGCCATTCCAAACTACTGAATTGAACTACATATTGTAGTTGAGAACGGGCCGTTCTGGGAAGGAGAACGGGCCGTTCCAGATGGAGAACGGGCCGTTCCAGATGGAGAACGGGCCGTTCCAGATGGAGAACGGTCCGTTCTGGTTAGGAGAACGGGCCGTTCTGCTGGATTTTGGAACGGGCTGTTCTGATTTTGGAACGGGCCATTCCAGTTGAGAAATTTGCATACGTTTGAAGGGCCCAGAACGGGACGTTCCGATTTTGGAACGGGCCGTAGTGGTAGGTGGGTGAAAAATCCTATAAATAGACCTCAAATCCTCTCATTTCTACACACCTCTCATTCTCACTCTCTCTTCTCTTCTGTTCTCTCTTCCGTTCCTCTTCTTCTCTCTAAAGACCAAGAGGAACTCAGAGGATGAGATTCTGCCCCAGTTTTAGTTCCGGTCCCTGTTTAAGGAAAGAGAGGAGGAGGTTCTGCCCTAGTTCCGGTCACTGTTTAAGGAAAGAGAGGAGAAGGTTCTGCCCGAGTTCCTATTTATCCAGGTACGGGGGAAAAGGGAATTATTTATATGTAGAGTTACATAAGAGAATTGGGTAGAAGTAGAACCCATAGGATTATGAGCAATTTTATAATTATTTCTGTGTGGAGAATTATTGATCTTATGTG